GGCGAGGAGGTCCCTCTCCAGTCCCCCGAAGCCATCGAAGCCTTCAAGATGCTCAGACCTTCCTACCGCAAGGCAAAGATCAAGGAGATGGGTCTAACGGAAGACGAGTGGTACGCCAAGCAGTTCGAGATTAGGGGTGAAAAGCCTCCGCCTTTGGATACTTCGTGGGCGGGGCCTTTGGTTGTTAGGCAGATCGCGCCGCGGGATTGGCCGCCGAAGGGGTGGGAGGTTGATAGGGAGGAGCTTGAGTTTGTTAGGGAAGGGCATAAGTTGTTGGCGGAGAGGGTTTGGTTGGAGGATTTGGAGAGGGAGGTGAATGTTGGGGAGGATGCGGGGGTTGATAAGATGTGTTTGGAGAGGTTTAGGGTTTTTTTGAAGCAGTATAATGAGTGGGTTGATTGTAATAAAGATAGGCTTGAGGAAGAATCTTACAAGGTTTGTTTTTTTTTTTTTTAGTATGAGACAGTGTTGGGTTAATGTCTGAGAGATGGATTATGTTGTTTCTTTTTTAAATATGAGACAGTGTTTAGGTTAATGTCTGAGAGATGGATTATGTTGTTGTTTTTTTAAATATGAGACAGTGTTTAGGTTAATGTCTGAGAGATGGATTATGTTGTTTTTTTTTAAATATGAGACAGTGTTTAGGTTAATGTCTGAGAGATGGATTATGTTGTTTTTTTTTAAATATGAGACAGTGTTTAGGTTAATGTCTGAGAGATGGATTATGTTGTTTTTTTTTAAATATGAGACAGTGTTTAGGTTAATGTCTGAGAGATGGGTTATGTTGTTTCTTTTTTAATGAGACAGTGTTGGGTTAATGTCTGAGAGATGATTATGTTTTTTTTATTTGTGCAGTATGATCAAGATTTTTATCCAGGGAGAAGGATAAGAGGGAAGGATTATAAAGAGGGGATGGTAAAAAGTCTTGGACGTGTTATTGGTTTATATATATTTAAGTTGAGTTAGAAATTAATATATAAGTATTTTACAAATCTAAGTAAAATATACAGGTTTTTGAATCTAATTATATGAATTTTAGTTAGTATTTAGAAATTTATATATTGGGTTTTAGTGTTTGTTTGATTATTTGCTAATTTTGTTAGAAGTTGATTGGTTTTATTTTTCTGTGCAGTATGAGCTTCCATTTTACTATCCAGGGATGGTAAGAGTCTTACTCCTAGGCCTTGTTTATTAACTGTTTGATTGGTTATATGAGAAATGTTTGTAATGTCTATGCAGATTTGTGAAGGCACAGTTACCACTTTGCATTTGTATCAGGGAGCATTTGTTGACATTGGAGGTGTTCATGAAGGGTATATACATATTTACATGCTGTTATTTAGTTAAAACTTTATGTGATTGATGTATATCTGTTCAATTGATGTCTTTTGTCAATGAAAGAAGTTTATATGCTCGTTCTTATTGGTTTTACAGGTGGGTTCCTATCAAAGGTAATGACTGGTTTTGGATCAGGCATTTCATAAGAGTTGGGATGCATGTTATCGTTGAGATCACGGTACTTCTTGAGACACTCTCTCTTTCACTTTGATAAAAACTGAATGGAAAATCTTTCATGCTCATGTTTCTTCTTCTATTTCTTTTTCAGGCAAAAAGAGATCCATACCGGTTCCGGTTTCCCTTAGAGTTGCGCTTTGTCCATCCCAACATAGATCACATGATGTAATCAGTTCACACATCTTAATTTTCCCATGTCAAATGGTTTTGGTTAATATATGTGTGTTGATGGTTTTTAAATTCCAATCTTGCTTCAGCTTTAATAAGTTTGACTTTCCACCAATATTCCATCGCGATGGAGACACTAATCCAGATGAGATAAGGGTAATGTCATTCATCTCTTGTTCTCTCTACGTCTCTCACTTTTATCTTAATATACATTACTCTGTGCAGCGAGATTGTGGAAGACCTCCTGAACCTAGAAAAGATCCAGGATCAAAGCCAGAAGAGGAAGGACTACTCTCTGATCACCCATATGTTGACAAGGTAAGTGTTAGCTTACTATGTTGGCTTTGTAATTTTGTCTGATATCTCTTCTTCTTTCTTGTTTTGCAGCTGTGGCAGTTACATGTAGCTGAGCAAATGATTTTGGATGATTACGAAGCTAACCCTGAAAAGTACAAAGGCAAAAAACTATCAGAACTATCTGATGACGAAGGCTTTGATCAACAAAAGGAAATTGAGCATGGTGAAGCTTATTATAAGAAAACCAAATTGCCAAAAGTGATCCTGGTGAGATATTTGTGCTGGTGAAACCATATTGTCTCTCAGTTATCTGATTAAATGTTTTCTTGTTTTTTTCGCAGAAAACCAGTGTCAAGGAACTTAACTTAGAGGCTGCTTTGATAGAGCGCAAGGTTACCACTGCTTTCATTAGTCTATGTAACTGTGAGAGATTCAGATAGTTGTATAAATCTTTTATACTGACAGTGGTTAAATCTCTCCTATTGTCTTGTGACAGTACCATAATAAACTAATGATGGAGGCCAAAGCAAGAGGAGAAGGATACAAAATCGACAAGCTAAGAAGAAACATTGAGATGGACGAGTATGATGCCTTACACTGGCGCAGGTCTTTGGAGGAAAGAGAAGCATTGCTCAGAGATATCAGCTCGTAAGTATCATATGACACTACAAGTTTCAATCAAAAGCTGATAAGTGAGAGATTTATGTTGATGTTTTAAATTTTTGTGTGTTGTAGTCGTCAAGCACTAGGGTTACCATTGGAGGAACCAGGGAGGTATAAGCCAGGAAGCTTCTTTGGGAAAGACCAATACGATCCAACAAGTGCATTGTACCAGTATGACTACTGGGGAGAGCCAAAGAACTCAGAGATTAGCAAGCAGGAGAGAATGAAGGATGCACACAACAAATCCATCGTTGGGAAAGGCAATGTGTGGTATGATATGTCTTACGATGATGCCATTAAGCAGACGATTGAGAGAAGGAAAGATGGGTCTAATGTGGTGAGTCAAAAAGAAGAAGAAACAGAGTCTAAGGAAGAAGAAGATGAGGATGATGAGTATGAGTTTGACGATTTTGATTATAGCATTTTGAGTGATGAGAGTAGTATAGGTTACTCGGAACAACAACCTCTTGTTAACGGTACTCAGGTTTTCACAGATTGATGATCTTTAGAGGAATGTAAAAAAAGAACATGTTTCATGTTTCTTTGGATTCTGGATGGTTAATTGAAGAAAACATTTGCTTACTTTACATAATGATTATCGTAAATTAAATAGCAACGATTATTGATGCTTTAATCTTGCTCAATATTAGTAAGCATCTCAATCTTGTTAAATCAAAAAGAAACTTTTCGGTCTAATAAACTTTTTTTTTTGTCATTTTATGTCCCAAAAATAATCACTATCACTAAATTTACCATCTTCTATATAGAAACTCATTATCAGTGTTATATAGCGGACCAATATACAGACCACAATTTTCAAAAATTGTTTAATACACCTAAATCTTAGTTATTTTCCCCTAGTATATATCATTTCTAGCTGTATTTTTCTAAGTTTATGTATGAATTGCCCCATCAAGTAATAGTTCTACATCTCTGTCTGTGATCTTGTCTATTATTTATTCTCTTTCGAGTATAGCAATAAGGACATCTCTAACTCATAATATTATTTTATTATCAAAATCGTACTAAAAGATTTTTGACACTTAATTTTTTTCATCTCAACTGAATTTTAAAACTCTATTTTAATTTGATTTTTACATTAAACCTCGGTGATCCAACATTAGAAGTTATACTATTTTAATGAAATACTATAGTTTTACACCCAACAGTTTTATAATAATTTATAAATATTATTAGTAATGAAATACTATAATTTTACACCCAAAAGTTTTATAATAATTTATAAATATTATTTTTGCCAGTCTTATTTGAGCTCAGTTTATTATGATCAAAGTTCGAAACTTCACTTTAAATAAATGGAACAAATGTCACAAATCTTAGTAGCACGAAAATAATCGATTGGATAAAACCCTAATAACTTTAGCCACACATTTGTATATAGGTACGCCGTTGAACATTATAGATTTGACGTCTTCTTTAATAATGGAGTTAGACGTCTTCAGTCCAAAAAACACAGCTGCACATAGTTACCATTGGCACACGTGACAATTTTTGCAAAAAACACAGCTGCACATAGTTACCATTGGCACACGTGACATTTTTGCATTATTGAATAGACGATATATCGCACTTTCTATTGCAGGTGTAGAGTCTGTAGACTGTAGTACATTCAAATTGTAGTACAGCATTTATTCTTTTACCCTCTTTTTGTGTTTCTTTTGGCTCAACATGTCACCTTTTTATTCGGGCATCACTCTTTTATATTCCTTGTTTGTTCAAAATGTGAATGCCGACAAACACAAAAGTAAAAAAAAAAAAGTGAATTCGACTGAAATATCTCTTCAAGGAAGTACTAAAATTAGCGCTACGAAACAAAAAATATTATTTCCATGCTTTTAGAAAGAGTTTATTAATGGATTCCGGAACTCTCCCAAATATAATTCATATGTAGTTGGATTCTTTACAAAGTTTAACGAAATGAGGAATCTAGAATACGTGTAATGAAAAGACAAATTAACAACAAATGTAAAGGGTATCAATGGAAGCAGCATTCGTTTGTTCAAAGAGGTAGGTTTAGAATTTTAGATATTGAATGGTATCGTTTAAATAGTTAAATAATAGAGCATTTCACATGGACAGATTCCAATCAAAAAATCTATTCACCTGTTAATCATGTTATACGTTAATGAATCAAAACCAGTTTGGTCACATTTATTTGTAACGCTCAAGTACGTACATTTCTATGTTTTGGACCACTTTTGGATTCTGCTTGTCTGGACGGTGACGACCTTGCCGTGAAATATGATACCGACATTAAACGCATCAAATACTAACAATTCTTTTATGTTTTCATACTTGTTTCTCCTTCATTGATTATCTTTAAACAACAATGAGCTCGAAATTTAGTTTCATCATTGCGTTAACAAGAATAAAAAGATGCTTTTTTACAAGAACTGCGAACAAAATCTACTCGAGGATTAAAGAAGAAAAAGACAAGACATAACTATTAAATTAACTAAAAATTTAGTTTTACGAATGCATGTTTTTGTTTCGAGGAGATCATGTTATGCAAATAACGATCATGACCGTTCGTCGCTGATCTTATACCAATCAAAGGCACAAAGCGGCCTTAACATCGAGTCTCCAAGCAAAACCTCCACTCTCCATCCTCCACACGTCGCAAGGAACCGTGACAGAGCTTCTCTCACGATCTCGACACGTGAACTGTATTTTCACCCTGCATGTGAAAGCCGTGTACGTTAGCATCGGCCTCTCCCTCATCACCAACCGTACGATCACGTCAAAACTATCCTCCGGTGCACCTTCCTCCACCGGAATATTATCCCTCGCCATCTTCCTGTAAGCGTCGTTTGTCCACGTCACTCTCCCCGAACCGTCCGATAAAAAACCAGGACACGTGTCCCTCACGAGATTCATTTTCCTTTCTTGGTCAGACCTTCCAAGACCGTAACCGTCATTCCATGCGTCCGTTACACGCTCCACCGTCATACAAGACGAAACCACCACCTTCCTCCTCGTAACTTCCACCGGAGTAAACATCCCGCCGCCGTCGCCGAAACTCAGCCAAAACGGACCTTGTCGCGTCTGTTTCTCCACCGACGGCACCACCGACACTTTAAGATCCGTAAAAGAACCTTCACCGGGCGTCTCCGGTAACAGAGAGAGAGTCACCTTAGTATCTCCGCCGTGAACGAAGGGTTTCTCCGATCTTCTCCGGGAAATGCACCTCCTTGCGTTACCACCATTCTCCTTCTGCTGACGTTTTCGCTTTCCTCTTCCTCCTTTAAAAGAAACATCGGAGCTTCCGCCGCCGCTCTCTCCGCTGGATACGGGCTTTCCTCCGCCGCCGCCGTCGCTGGTTGGTTTAGGAGCGATGGGACGAAATCTAAGCATGATGCGGTCTGCTTGAGACAGACCGTAATCGTACGGTCCAGCGTATTTTGCTATGCAACACCCTCCACTACCGTCCATTTTTGCTCTGTAAAGAAGAATGTTTGAGGTGAGGAAGACTGAACTAATGGTTAAGGGTTTTTATAACGACTGTGGTCTGAACACGTGTCTTGAGTCTATACTCGTGTTTTTGGTCTACAAGGATTGTGATCTAGACACGTGTTGTAGCTGGCAAGCTAGTGTTGGGTTGTGTTGGTCTTTAAAGGGTTTTGGTTGGTTGCACATGGAAAGTTATTTATTCGTCTCCCTCTTTCTTTTGTGCCTAAGTTATTCGTAATGAAAACAGTTTAAATTCTCCCTCGTAGTAATAAAATGAAAAATAACCAAAGACAAATATGGGTTATACATCATTCATTTTATTTTAGTTATTGTTTTAATTTTATGCACACAAAATAAGAAAATATATAATTTTACATATTTTCAAAATGAAAACATCATTATATAAACTTAATCACATTTCAACAAATTAAATATAAAATAATATAAAATTTTAATAAATTTTATATTAAAATTAGAAAACGACAATTGTTTTGAAACAGAAATTTTACGTTACAATGAGAATAAACTGAAACGGAAGAAGTATATGAATTCCTTCTTTGTTAAGAACGGTTACCTAACACTATTGGCACTAAATCTTTAAGGTCGCCTACGCAAGAGATCATCATGTCCCCTTTGATATCTAATTTGTCACAATCACTTTAAATTTAATTAAGATGTCATTTACCTTTAATTAAGACTTGGTCAATGATTGTAATTATAATCAATCCTCATCGTTTGGATCTTGCTTGATTAATAAAAAAAATTTATTCTTGTAAGATATTTTATCTGATTTATCAATTGACGGAATATGAATTTTTAAAATATTGTGGTAAAGAAAATATATGAAGAGTCCAAGAATATAATGTTGTTCAAAAGGATAGGAATGATGTCATTTTAAGCAAAGTATACCCTTTAGCTCTGCCTAATATTTTCTTGATGTTTTAGCAAAAAAAAAACATTTTCTTGATGTTGTCCCAAAACAAAAAGATGCCTTAAAGATTGGTGGTAAATCAATCTTTCTATAACCTAATATTCGATGAACGTAGTCCATCTCTAGCTGCAATTCCCTTTGGCAATTAGTTTGAGATTTTCCTTAGGTATCAAATTTTTCAGATTAATCCAAACAGATTAATAAATTATTTAAAATATTTTTTTCTAGAAAGTTTCAAAATGAAATGTTTGGAACCTTTTTCAACTTTTTTTTTTTTGAAATTCAAAATTTCTTTTTAAAACTATTTTTAATTACTATTTTAAATCTTAAATTTTGTTACGCTACAAAAATAATAAAATTCAAAAAATCGAATTAACTGTTCGCTAAGTTAAGAAAGATATCTTAGAGTCCGAATCAATGACTAATGGCCAAACCATATGCATCAAAAGTTAGTGTGGGTTGGGGCTCGTGCGAGATAACTTAGGATCGATCTCAATGTCGTGAATTTGTAGAGGTTTGCTTACCTGTATGGTCATTTGACTCGAACTTTTTTTTGGTCTAAATGTTAAAAATTTGATCTCAAACTTACTTTAATTTGGCTCATATATGCTTCGTCACATTGAATTTTTTTGGGGTAATAATCAGACTAGTCAAGACTTGATCTAGACACTGCTTAATTGTTGGTACTTATATAAGAAAATAATTTTGATGTTTAATGTAACAATAAAGTTTTGATCGATATTGTCGTAGAGTTATGAGACTATATAAACAAAATAATGTAGAATGGAATAACAACAAAAATATAACAATTTTCATGTCATAACTATTTTTTTCCTTGAACTTATTAATGGTAGAATGACGGAGTATAAACCCTATCTCTACTTAGCCTTATTATACAATTCTTCAAACTAAAGTCATCGATGTTTTATGTTTATATATAACTTGTGTTTAAATCTTAAAGTGTGCTATAGACGGAAAAGCAATATGAAGCAATTCAGTACAAACCACCATATACCTTAATACCACTATACATTCTCGTCACTATGTATATTATGAATTATGATCCTTAAACTTTACTTTAGAAACCAGTTCTAACTCAAAAGGTTTGTAAAAATCATAGTTATTGATATTTAACGTTAGATTTGGGATAGAGTTTCAAGCTGCTAGGGAATCTAGAAATATTGTGGGTGGGTCGTACTTTGCATGAGAACACGCATGAGGGCACGTAAAGAAATCTTATTAGCTGATGATTACAGTATTACTAGTATTATATAGTAATAAACTAGTATTGTAATAACTATTTTTAGCAATAAATTAGCAAAACCCAGTAGCTAAGCATACACACATGATCCTTTTATTTTTATATGGTTTTAAGTGCAGCACATTTATAGCTGGAAATATTTTCACTCTAGAGCCAGAATCTCTCTTTGACAGAGACATCATAATTCATAACTCAACTATTCAAATTTAATTCGGTATAAGTCACTGTAATTATGATTATGCACTATAAGTATGATAATGATTGTTTTCTTATAAATATTGGGTTTTAGATGCCATAAATTAAACATATATCAGCTTTTGTTTAGGCTTGGTAAGTCTTGGTATTCCATTAAAAAGTTAGCTTTTGTTTCTTTGTAGTTATGAACTATAACTTTTTGCTGGCTTGGTAACAAAATGTTAATCCTCTTTTAGCATGCCTTTGGGAGAACGTGGCACATCCCATACTGGTCACCACAATACCTACATTTTTTTTTGTCAACACCACAATACCAACATAATTTGAATATTTGGTATGTTTCATCAGATAAGCTTCATAAATCTTATCAACTCATATGTCTACTAATCTATACGTTATTAATAAATTAAGACTTCATTCTACTATCTGTGATCTTTCGATTAAGACAGTTATGAGGATTATATATATATATATTCAACTTCAAATTTAACTTCAAGATGGTTCTAAATAAAACTATATATGCATGGAAGCCATTACACAAGATGCTATTATTTATCAACTCATATATAAAATATGTTATTAATATATTGCTTGTTCGTTTAAGATAAGCTTCAATGACGATGTTTCTACCAACATATTAATGTCTAGTTTGCTATAAAACATTATTCTCATGTGTATATTCTCTGCCAAAACTATATATGCATGGAAGCCATTACACAAGATGCTATTATTTATCAACTCATATATAAAATATGTTATTAATATATTGCTTGTTCGTTTAAGATAAGCTTCAATGACGATGTTTCTACCAACATATTACGTCTAGTTTGCTATAAAACATTATTCTCTTTTTTTTTTTTTTTTTTTTTTTT